TGGAGGAGCGGGTGGTCCGAGAGCAAGAAGGCCCGGCAGGGCTCGACCTGAACGGTGCTTGGGCGATTTCCTGGGCCGTTTTCGTTCTTTCCGTTTTCGTTCTGTCAGTTTTGCAGGAGGGGCAGAACGAAGACAGAACGAGGAAAAACGACGACGAAACCAAAAATATTGCTTAGGTCGAGCCCCGAGGCTTGGTGCTGCCGTGCGGCGAGGCCGTGCCCGGGGCCCCAGCGCCGGCCGCGGCGCCGGGCGACATGGACGGCGACGGAGTACCCGACGCTGAGGACCGATACCGCTGCCTTCTTTCCGTTTTCACCTCTGTGGGCCTCCGGGGAGGCTCTCGTCGTGCCGCGGCTGGAATCGCCCCGGAATGCTGGTCAGAGCGCGCCCCGGGAGAGGTTTGGGAAGTAGGAGTATGTATCGGTGCCTTTTGTGGCGTCCCCAAAAGGACCCGGACAGGGACGGGGACGGCGTGGAGAACGGCAAGGACGCCTTCCCCAGCGACAGGACCTCAGGGATAACCTCGAAGGGTCAATAGTTTCGATCCTCCCCCCCTGTTTCTCTCGGCTTGGAACAAAGCTCGACCCTCCTCCTCTCCCTCTCCCCATTCTTCCCGCCCCTTCTCCTCCTCCTCCTCCTCCTCCTCCTCCCTCCTCCCCTCCATCCTCTCCCCCCTCTCCTCCTCCCCTACCCCTCCCCTCCTCCTCATCTCCTTCTCCTCCCTCCCCTCCTCCTCCTCCTCCTCCTCCCCCTCCCCTCCTCCTCCTCCTCCTCCTCCCCCTCCTCCCTCCTTCTTCTCCTCACCACCTCCCCCCCCCTCATGCTCCTCATGCTCTTCCTCCCCCCCTCCTTATCCTGCTCCTCCTCCTCCTTCTCCTCCCCCTCCTCCTCCTTCTCCTCCTCCTCCTCCTCCTCCTCCTCATTCCACTCCTCCTCCTCGTCCTCCTCCTGAACCTCCTCGTGGTCGTTATGCTCCGTCGGGTCCGAGGTGTTCGGGGTCTTCGGGCGGTTTCGCCAGCTCCTGGAGGTTTTCTCGCCTCGGGGCGCCTTCCAGCAGCCGCGCCTCGCCGAGAGGCGTCGGGGGTCGCTTGGGCCGTCCCGAGGCTTGACCCGTGGCCCGAAAAGACAATGGGTATCAGGGGCAGCTTTGGAGGGGACGGGCTTAGGGGGGGGGGGGCGGATGCATCGACCCCCAGGATTGCCCACTGATCGCCAATTTAGGCCTGATGGCCCGCCCCATTCAGGACCGTGTGGATCTTCTATCCCGGCCTATCGCCCATCTCTCGGCGATCTGATCGCCAATTGCAGCTCGGTGTTTCCCCCCCCTGAGCTGGCCTCCACGTCCCCCTTCAGGACCGAATGGTACGACCTAGACGGAGACGGCGTTGGGGACAACCACGACGCAGACAAGGACGGCGACGGCGTCCCGAACGAGCGGGACCGCTTCCCCGACGACCCTCACGAGTGGGCCGATCTTGACGGCGACGGCGTCGGGGACAACACGGACAAGGACCGGGACGGCGATGGCGTCCCCAATGAGAAGGACAAGTTCCCAGACGACCGACACGAGTGGAGGGACACCGACGGGGACGGCATCGGCGACCGAAGCGACACCGACATGGACGGGGACGGCGTCCCCAACGTGAAGGACAAGTTCCCACTGGACCCGAAGGAATGGGGGGACATCGACGGGGATGGCGTCGGCGACAATTCGGACACCGACATGGACGGGGACGGCATCGCCAACGGAGACGACTCCGTCCCGCAGGATCCGAACAAGCCCCCCACGATCCACGACATGGACGGAGACGGTATTCCAGACAGCGAGGACCGAAGAAGAAACACCGCCACAGACACAAAGTCTCGGAGTTCCGCGCGGATGTCTTGGATCGGCGCTGGACTCCACTCCCTGGCGCGCGGAGCGCGCCAGGGGCGGCGCCAGAGGCGCCGCCAGGGGTTCCAGTGCCGACCAAAGAAATCCGTGCGGGCCTCTGAAAGTTTGTGTTTACGTAGTTTGACGTTCCCCTACCCGCTCCGTGTTCTCCCCTTGCCCCCCTCTTATGCCCTCTCCCTCCCGCTCCCTGCTTGGCTTTCCCTCCCTGTCCCAGCGCCGACCCGAGAAATCCGTGCGGGCCTCTGAAAGTTTCTGCTGCGCGGCTTTCGGGGGCAGGGCTCACGCGACGTAAACGTTTTCGTTGTGATTCCGTTCCGCAGCAGAAAGGCAGAACGAAGAAAGACCGAAGGAAAACGAAAACAACGAGAAAACGAACAACATCGTTTACAGTCAACTCGCCTAGTAAGGACGCGCGCCTTCATCTAGGGTGCAGTACCCTTGTGTCCTTGCCTCTGCGGTCCGTCCTTTGCCGCTTTCACTAGTTGCCCGCCGCCCCCAGAAAACTCAACTTCGGCCTGCAGGGGTCTTGCGTCCTTACCACCCGCCCTTCATACACGTTTTGACTGTAGCTCGCGCCCTGCTCGGGGTGGCTTTCGGGGGGGGGGGCAGCAACGCCCGAGAGCGCAGGGCGCTGCCGTGCTGCAGCGCATGCCCGCGGGAGCGGTAGGCGCCGCGCAGCAATGGGCCGCTCTCCTGCCCTGGGGCCAGTCCTACTCAGGCAGCGGGACAGCAACATGCTCGGTACGGTCGGACCGAGATTGAACGCTGGAGTGGAAGCTCCTCCTCTTCGCCCTCCTCTCCTCCTCGCCCGCCTCCTCGCCCCCCTCCTCGCCCCCTCTCCTCCTCGCTCCCCTCTCCTCCTCCTTCTTGCCCCCCTCCTCGCCCCCCCCCCTTCACTCCTCCTCCTCCTCCTCCTCCCCTCCTCCCCCTCCTCCTCCCCCTCCTCTCTCCTCCTCCTCCTCCTCCTCCTCATCTTCATCATCTTCATCATCATCATCATCAGCAGCATCATCATCTTCATCATCTTCATCTTCATCATCATCATCTTCATCTTCATCTTCATCATCATCCTCATCATCATCATCATCATCATCATCATCATCATCTTCATCATCACCATCATCATCATCATCATCATCATCAGCATCATCATCATCATCATCATCATCATCATCATCATCATCATCATCATCATCATCATCATCATCTTCATCATCATCTTCATCATCATCATCGCCCCCCTCTTGCCTCAGCGGCAGGGGCGCGAAGAGGCCCGGGTCCGCTCGCGGGCGCGCTGAGCCCCCCCCCTGTATGATGAGGTACAGCTTCGCATTACGGCAGGAAAGTGATGGACGATCGAGGCCTCCTCCTCCTCCTCCTCCTCCTCCTCACCTCCTTCTCCTCCTCCTCCTCCTCCTCCTCCTCCTCCTCCTCCTCCTCTTCGGGCCCGCCTGGGTGACCTTCGGACTAGGCCTAATGTTCTTCGTGTTTGTTGGATGTTCTTGTGCATCCTGAAGGAGGGCACCCTCGAATGCGCTTCAGTCTGGCTGGCGGAGGGTTTTTCATGTTCTTGAAGGATGTTACTCTGTCCCAGGTCTGGCCGCACATGTGAGGCATTCAAGACAGGGCCTCGCCTTCGAGGATCGGAGGACTGGAGATTATCTTGTCCTCGGTGGAAGGGCGGCGGATGCAATACGAGGCCGCCTCCGCAGGCGGCCAGCGGAAGCGCGGCGGAAGCCAGCGGCAGCGAACATCTGTCCCCCAAGCGATGGCAAGGTTTTTGGCTTCATTTTGAAACCGCCATGTTCAGTCGTGGGTGTCGAGAGTCGAGAGCATGCGTCACGCGAGCATTCGCAACACGAGGCTGCCCTCGCGGACTTGGGGGGGGCCTTGTTCGTGCACGTTGCTGGGCGCGTGCGTTGTTTGGGGGCGACCTGCTTGCAGATGTGCAGCCGGGAAAGGACCACGACAGGGACGGCGACGGCGTCCCCAACAGCCAGGACGCCTTCCCTGGAGACCCCTCGGAGTGGGGCGACATCGACGGGGACGGCATCGGAAACAGCAAGGACCAGTGGCGCGCAGGGAGGGGGGTAAAGATCAGCGCGAGTGGGGGGCCATCTGGGGAGCTGCAGGGGGGGCCCTCTCAGCCCTCGAACATCCAGGATCGAGGGGAGAGGTTTTCGGAAGTTTTCGGCCCCTGTCGGGCTTCTGGAGCCCTCCTTGGACCTCTGGGGGTCCGTATCCAGTGCGGGAGCGGCACTTGCCGACGCCCTCCCTGCCTCGGAGAGGTCTCTCGGAAGCCGCCGAGCCACTCCAAGAGGGCCGCCCGCCCGTCGCCCCTCCGCCCACGCTTCCCTGTTGCACGCCGCCGGGAGGACCCCGACATGGACGGAGACGGGATCCCGAACGAGGAGGACTCGGGAGGTGATAATCAGAATGAGCTCAGAGGCTGGGGCCTTTCTGATGCCGAATGTAGGGGGCGACTGTGAGGTGTGAGTGTTGATGTGGAGTGTGGGCGCGAGTGCGGGCGTCGAGTGTGGGGTTGGAGAAGAGGGAGGAGGCGGAGGAGGAGGAGGAGGAGACGAGGAGAGGAGGAAAGGAGGAGAGGGAGTAGGAGGGAGGGAGGGAGGGAGGGAGGGAGGGAGGGAGGGGAGGAGGGAGGAGGAGGAGGAGGAGGAGGAGGAGGAGGAGGAGGAGGAGGAGGAGGAGGAGGAGGAGGAGGGATTGGGGGGATGGGGAAGCTCAGTCGGAAGGCCCATCACACCCCCTTAATAAGTACCCCGCCCGGAGTAGGGTTTCGTCCCAAGGGCGTTGTCACTAAAGGGTGTAAAGGCTGACTTGCTAGACAGTGGCTCCGCGCACCCCGGAAGGACAAGTTCCCCACCGACCCGTCCGAGTGGAGCGACCTCGACGGCGACGGCATCGGGGACAACAAGGACAACGACAGGGACGGCGACGGCTTCTCGAACAACGCGGACGCCTTCCCGAACGACCCGGAACGTGTGGCGCCGCCCCACAGCGGTGGCCGGCGTCGCACAGACGGGATGGCGAGGGGGGGTGTTAGAAGAAGCCTTCTTACAGTGAGGAGCTCATACTTACTGTGCCGCGGCGGCGGCCCCTGGGACACGCCACCCCCTCCAACCTCATGCCGTGTCGCTCTGCTTTGTGGGACGGGAGGCCGAGAAAGCCCGTAGCGCTGAAGCCTGGGAGCTGGAACATGCTCAGCGCGTTACGCCGAAGCGTAGTGGGCTGCGACACGCTAAGTAAACGTTCCAGACCGAGTCTCCGAGCCCTCCTGAGAATCGGAGCGCGCAAAAGCGGCATTAGCATCGAACTTTCGGAGGTCCGCTCGATTTTTTGCGTCGGCGCCAGCCCTCCTGAGCGTCGCCTCCAGCGCCGTTCCTGGCGCGCTCCGCGCGCAAAGGGAGGTGGGCCCAGCGCCGACGCAAGAAGCTTGCGCGGACCTCCGAAAGCTTGTGTCGGTGCGGCGCAAGGCTCAAGCGGAACGGTTTGGGTGATGTCTCGGACCCTCTTCGGTTCGGTCTCGCTTTGCGGCACAGGCGGAACGAAGACAGGACGAGGGAAAGTGGCAACAGGACAGAAACGGGGAACATTGCTTAGGTCGAAGCCTGGCGCGGTGCTTTGAGGCCCCACAGCCTCCTTGGAGGCCCCCGTCGCCCCACCTCGTGTTTTTGGGAGCCGAATTCGACGACCAAACAACTCGGATAACTTCAACGAAGCCGACTTCCCACAAAACTGCGTGCTATTGGAAGGCGAACTGGGCGTCCACAAACGTGTAGTTTTCTGTGGCTTTTTGGAAGTCGGGCTCGGCTTCCAAAACCGGCGGCGCGCCGAGGGGGCAAGTGAGAGGGAGAAGGTCTTCTCAGAAGGTGGCGGGGGGCTTCTCAGAGGCCCTCCCGCCTTCTGAGAAGTTGTCTCTGCTTTCGGGGAAGGCTTAGAAAAATTCTCCGAGGGCCCGAGGTCGGACAAGCCTGGGACGAGGACACAATCGATCCAGAGCGTTCCAGAACGCTCTGAGAGCGTTCAGGAACGCTCTGAGAAGGCCGCGTCGCCCAGATCTCAGAGATTCTCGATTTATCCCCACCCGATGCTGTATTCGTCCTGGCTTCGTCTCACGAGGCCCTCCGAGCCTCCTGAGAAGGCCCGCCCCCTCTCGCTTCCCCCTTGGGCTCGCCGCCGACAAAAGCACGAAGGCATCCTTGGAGAGCCCCTCCCCCCTATCGCGCCACCCTCTATGCGCGCGCCGCCCAGGCGGGGGCGGCGCCGAGTTCGAGGTCGTTCCCACGCCCGGCCCGGCCGCGGCTCCAGCTCCTGCAGAGGCCGGGGGCCGAAAACGATGCACGCCCCCGTCTGCACACATCGAAGAGAGAGCAAGCGCACACACACACACACACACACACACTTATATAAGTGTATGTACACACAGGTAAATTATATGTACACGCACATCTGTACATATAGTATACGTTTGCGCGTTTGCGCATATATATATACAAACATATATATATATATATATACATATATATATATGTATACATGTATACATATTAAACTATGTGCATCTACACATATGTATATATGTATTATTCCCGACCTAGGCTCTGCCTAGAAGGGTTCTGACTCTGTGGGCTTAAAGGGCCCGGGCAGTGTAAAGCGCCCCGGGCGGTTCCCCCAGGATCCGCCCCGCGGTTCCCCCAGTTGCGCCCCCTGGGCTCACCCAGCTTAGCTAAGCTTAGCTTTTCTTAGCTTAGCTTAGCTTAGCTTAGCTTAGCTTATCTCATCTTAGCTTAGCCTAGCTTAGCTTAGCTTATCTCAGAATAGCTTAACATAGCTTAGCTTAGCTTAGCTTAGCTTAGCTTATCTCATCTTAGCTTAGCCTAGCTTAGCTTAGCTTAGCTTTGCTTAGCTTAGCCTGGCCTAGCTTAGCTTAGCGCAGCGCAGCGCAACGCAGCATAGCGCAGCGCAGCATTAGCACAGCATAGCATAGCATAGCATAGCATAGCTCAGCATAGCACAGCATAGCATAGCATAGCTCAGTATAGCATAGCATCGCATAGCATCGCGCAGCATAGCATAGCATAGCATAGCGTAGGATTGCTTAGCATAGCATAGCGCAGCAGAGCATACCATAGCACATCATAGCATAGCATAACCTAGCATAGCGCAGCCTATCATAGCATATCATAGCATGTCATAGCATAGCATAGCATAGCATAGCGCAGCATAACATATCATATCATAGCCTAGCATATCATAACATATCAAGGCATATCATAGCATGGCATAGCTCAGCATAGCATAGCATAGCATAGCATAGCATAGCGCAGCATTTCATAGCATAGCATGTCCTAGCATAACACAGCGCAGCCGAGCGTACCCTAGCATTGCATAGCATAGCGTAGCATAGCATAGCATAGCATAGCATAACAGCAAAACAAAGGCAAAGCAACAACAGCAACAGCAAGGCAAAACACAAGCAACGCAAAGCCGGACCTGCAGTGTAGATGTAGGTGTAGATGTAGGTGTAGATGTAGGTGTAGATGTAGCTGTAGATGTGAGTCTCGCTGTTGATGTTGATGTAGATGTAGATGCAGGTGTAGATGTAAATGTAGCTGTCGGTGTAGATGTAGATGTTGCTTTCCTAAATGCTCCAACTCCTAGGTAGGGTCGCACCGGGATAATGTGTACACACCTGAGTATATACTCACATGTGTGTACCTACATGCATACATATGTATACATTTAGAGTGGTGTACATATATACATAGCTACATGTATATATACATGTGTACATGGCCGCGCCGTTTGTTCCGACGCGCGGCCTTGCGTATTGGGGAGGGCGCCGCGGGCACCAGGGCAAACGCCGCCTCGGGCGCGGTGGGTTTGCAATGGGTTTGCCGCGGTGCCGGCTGGATGCGGGGCTTGCCGTGGGTTTGCCGTGGTGTCGGCGTCGTGTACTTGGGCGCGTCGAGAACAAACGATGCGTCACTCCAAAGCCGTTTCGGGGTCAATCGCAGCGACGGTGACCTCCGCTGGCTGGGTCGGAGGGCGCTCGCAGGAGCAGGAGCAGTGCTGGGTCTCTCGGCCCTATGGCCAGGCCCCCACCGCCGACCCGAGCATGGACGCCTTCCATGCGTTCGGCCAAAGGGGATCGGACAGTGGGCCCGTGTCCTGGACGGGGGCCCCAGCGGGAGCAGCTTGCCCAGTGCCGGTGCCCCCAGGCTTGGGTCCACTGGGGCCAGGCATGACGGCGAGTGCGACGGCGGCTCAGAGCGCGACGCAGGTGGAGGAGCTCCTGGCGAAGATGAACGGCAGTGCCTCCATGAACCCGTGGTGGGCCATCCATTTCTGGCAAGGAGTTGCTCAGATGAATGCTGGAGGGTTGCTCGACCCAGCCGTGCGGGCCTCCCTGGTCGCGAGGGGGTGCGTCGGCGGAGAGACGAAGGCCCCCCCCCAGACGTCGAGAGACGCTGCGGGCGATGCTGGACGGCTTCGTCAACGCAGGGAGCGAGGGAACGGCGTCATCTCGGGCTCCTTCGGCGGCCCCGCGGCTTCGGGCGGCCAGGAGGTGGGCGCCTGGGCCCATCGTCCGTCATGCTATCGCTGCAGGCGATATCCCCGCCCCCCTCGCGGTCCTGAGCGGCGCACTTGCAGCTGCGGTCAAGGGGGGCGGGGGCGGCGGCGGAGGGGCGCGCTGACAACATCCTGACGATTGGGAGGGATAAGCCATTCAGTGATCAACAACTTGGGGTGACCTCGGGAAGCTCTTGAGCGGAAAAAAGGCCTTCGCTTCACGAGCTGGAAGGCGGCGTCCAGGGCATTTCTCTGCTTTTAGTTGACGGGGGGTGACAGGCTTTCAATGCAGAGCCGCAGCCTGCGGCGACTGTGTTTCGCCGCAGAGAAGGTTATCCGGCGTCGTTGCTGCAGCGAGCACCTGCTTGGAGTTCTCTTGGTCACGTCGCCTGGGCGGGACTCGCCAGGCGGGGAGTCTGGAGCTTCCCGCGGCGTCGCCACGGGCAATCATGCGCCTGCGCCCGCTTTCGAACGCGCGCTTGTCTGCCCGCTGGCACCCCGCGGCGCCGACAACAGGTGCATCGCCGTTTGGTACAGGCGCGCGCGCGCGCCAGACAGGCCGACTCGCGCGCGGTTCGTGCGATCGGCAGGGCATCCGAAGTTTGGCGGTTCAAAGTCGAGCATACACCGACGCAAAAAAACGCGCCTTCTCCGACCCCAGCCCGACCCCTGGCCACGCATGTCCAAGTTCGAAGCGTTTGCTCTCTGCGACCTAGGTTCGCCCTCTCGATAGGTGCACGGCTAACAATCGCGATGCGTCCGACTCCAGCGGCGGCTGTGCCAGCGGCGGCGGCGACGACCCCGCCCGCTGCCCCCACCCTGACGGCGGCGGCTACGATATCGAGCGGGGCGACGATGAGCGGAAAGAGGTGGAGGGCGACGGTAACGACAGGACGCAGGGTGGTCTTGGGGGCCAGGGTCAATGGCGGTTGGAAGCGCGACGCGGGCACTAAGGCTCCACGCGGGTTCGGCCGCCCAAGTGACCAACACGGAGGACGCGCCTGTTATTTTCCACGAGATCGACGAATGTGGCATGGACGAGGAACCTTGGACAACGGCTATCGCTACTAGAGCGAGGCGCCGTTCCGACGTTCTCGAGCAAGTGGGGGGCGCCCTCGCATCGGGGCGCTGGTGCCCCCTTCGCTCAGGCCCCGCGAGGGGCTCGAGGGCCTCGGCCTCGGCGGGCCACGTGCCTCTCTGTCCCGGGGCGGTCGAGGGCCGCGCGCGCCCTTCGCGCCCACTCGCCCCCGTCGACGCGATGCCGCGCTTTCGCTCGCCGCAGGTGCTCGCACCCGCGCGCGACGGGCGCCGCCCGCGGAGTGTCCGGGCGACGCGTGGCCCCGAGGCCAGCGCGGATTCTTTGTGGGCGCCTCTCTGCTCGAGTCTCGCCGACGGGCCCCGACCGCCGCGCCTCTTCTTCAGCGCGAGCCTCTCCCCGAACGCGCGGGCGGGCAAGTCCCAGACGAGCCCCTCGCGCCAGCGCGGCTCAGTACCAGAGCGGGGAAGTTCAAGAAGGAGCGGGCTTCTCGGCCCCGGGGGGCGGCCGCGAAGGGCGAGGGCGCCCGCTGGAGAAGGTCGCTGCGAAGCCTGGGTCAGCGCAGCTGCGCCAGCGGACCCCGCGCCTCTCACTCGCGCGCTGCCGGCGGGCGAGCGCGGCCCGGGGGGGCGCGGCCGAGCTGGGCGCGGCGGCGGTGGACTGCGCCAACTCCATGCGCATGGAGGGGCGCGGGGCCGACGAGGCCAGCCGCGTGATCGCGAAGCTCGGTCGCTCGTTCCCCGAGCTGCGCGAGAAGACCCAGCCCCAGCTGCCGAGATCAACCGAGCGCGCGGTCAGGTGGAGCAGGCGGGCGCCAGCCCCATCCCGCCTCCCACTGCCTCGTCTGGCGGCGCCGGCGATCGCGGGGGCCATCGTCGCGTCGGGGCCTCCGCGGAGGTTCCGGCGATCGGCCAGGGGCGCGCCGCGGCCGACTGGCGAGGCGCTATCTCCAACGCCTTCTCGCGAGAGCCCGCCGGGACCGAGGGGCCATTGTCCTGGAATTGTTCACTTGGGGCCGGGGCATCGGCAGCTTTCTGAAGTCTCGGCGCTCTGCCTGGATATCCGAAACTGCGCCCGCCAGGCCCCCCCCCGCGCGTGTCACTCCGCGGTTAAGGGGTGGATTCGCGGGGGCGCCGTCGGGGCCTTGCGATTGGGCACTCCATGTACTACCTGGTTTATCGCTAGACGGCCTGGTCTCTAGGATTCTGAACGTATCCTTGGGATTCCTGGATTTACTGCTTCCCATCATCTCAAATTCAACGTCAGTGGTTATATTCACCTTTTCTTTACTCAGGTCATGCGCCATACGCCCGGCGACACGTCACAATACCCAGGTGGCTCTAGACAGCCAGGGAACATGAATATCCAGATCTGATGTGGCGTTCACCACGCCTGCGCAGACTACTCTGTGACGATACGTGTGCCGTACAAAAGTGGTTAGAGGAAACGTACCCACGTCGCTCCGTGAAACGCTGGCATCTGTACAGGCCTGCAGTGTGTTTGCGGGAAGATTTGCTCGAAGTCTCTCAAGCCTCACATTGAGTTATTAAGGGGAACTCCTGGTGTTATTCATCGGTCAACTATCGCAGCTTCCTTCCCAAAGCAGCTCTGCATAGTCATCGGGCAAAATCATACCGAAGCTACACAAAGGAACAATCATTTGATAGTTAATACACGCTATACGGATGACTATATATATAGAATTGTATATATACATATATGTCCCGCCGTGCCTGTCAGTGACCCCCTCCCTGTGTGCATGTGTGTATGCATGTATGCATGCATGCATGTATGCATGTAGATATGTACGTATGTATGTGTATGTGTGTATAAGTGTTTCTGTATGTGTATGTGTTGTATGTGCACGTATAGCATACTCACTCAGACCCACTCACAGCATACTCATTCACATCAGACCCACTCACAGCATACTCATTCACATCAGACCATTCCAAAAAAAGGCCCTAGAAAATGAACGTATTCGTGTTTTTTGTGTGGGTGGTAGGCGCGTCTCCCGTGATGGTGTTTACCAAATGCGATACATGAGTAGAGAGATGGCGTGAACGCCGCGCACTTCCTGTGAAGAGTCCCATTCAGTGCTCCTGGAGAAAATGCGGCGTGGGCTAAGCTGCATCAGAGGAGGTGGTGTTGGTAGAAGATGAGAGATAAAGGGGTATAGCGCATTGGGTACTGAGGATGTGGAGGTGGGGCTAGAAACTGAGCTTAAAACTACCGCAAGACAGCACACATCCACACATCCTACATAACCTGACAACACATCCACAAGAAGTGCAAAACCATACACGGGCAACACGCACATAACACACTTCACAAGATCACAGACCATACCACAGCACCCACATCACATCACAGCACGACCACATCACAGTACCCACATCACATCACAGAACAGACACACATCACGAACCTATAGGACCACCCACACAGCACACTCACATCACACTTCACATACCCACCAAGAGGGGGGGTCACTGGGAGGCACGTAGGGATATATGTATATCTGTATAATGAAAAGCGGCCGTTGGCCAGTTGACCGGTCGGGTTCAGGGGGCTGGAGGTTCGGATTCTGCGACTCCGCCAATGCCCTCCGTGGTTGTTCCACTTCCTCCGGAGAAAATTATTTCCTCGCCCAGCGTGTAAGAACGGTCGCTCTTTGGATAAAATGGCGTATGTGGGAGTGAAAAGAGCGGGGCCGCGCAACGTTATGGCCCAAGCTCCCCCCCACCTGGCTCCCAGAAAGTGTGCCGCAACCTGGTTTCGCCTACTTTGTCTTTTTCCCTTTTCAGGGGGTTGGAGGCTCGGATTCTGCGGTTCCGCCAATGCCCTCCGCAAGCTTGGCTGCCTCACTTCCTCCTGAGAAAGAGTAGTCTCCTGGCCAAGCGCGTGAGAACGGCCACTCATGATGATGGTGGTGAAGACGGTGATGGTGATGATGACGACGATGGTGGTAGCGATGGTGATGGTGGTGGTGATGACGGTGATGGTGATGGTAACGGCGGTCGTGGGAAGATGATGACGAAAAGGGGCGCGGGCGACCAGGTGCGCCGTCGTCGTCGTCGTCGTCCTCGTCGTCGTCGTTGTCATCGTTGTTGTTGTTGGTGGTGTTGTTGTTCTCGTCGTCCTCGTCCTCGTCCTCGTCGTTGTCGTCGTCGTCGTCGAAGGCGTGGTGGTTGTCGTCGTCGTCGTCGTCGTCTTCGTGGCCGTGGCTGTGGCCGTGGTCGTCGTCGTCATCGTCGTCGTCGTCATCGTCGGCGCGTGGAGGAGTAGGAGAAGGAGGAGGAGGAGGAGGAGGAGGAGGACGAGCCGGAGCGGGAGGAGGAGCAGGAGCAGGAGCAGGAGCAGAAGCAGGAGCAGCAACATCAGTAGCAGCATCATCAACAGCATGTGGAGGAGCAGGAGCAAGAGCATGAGGAGGAGACGGGAGAGACGCAAACTGAAAGCGGAGCCGAGTGACGGTACCGACTAGCACGAAATATACGGATCCGGCCCCACCCCAATGGAGGGAAGGCGGAGGGTGACAGCCCCATGAAAACAGCACCTCCTTGCTGCACTGGCCACAACTCACACGGCGAGAAGCACGACTTCTCAATCAGGACAGGGGCCAGGCCCATCAGGAGGGGCGGAAGCGCTGAACCGAGCACGACGTCACAAAAAGGCCACGAAGATGTCCATTTCGACTGGGGATAGCGAGTGAAAGCTCGCTGTCGCCGCCTCCTGGAGGCGTGGGAGGTCACCGTGGGGCGTCTCCAGCCGCGCCGCCAGCGCCGCCGACAGTTGCTGGATCGTCTCGAGGCTCTCCGAACCACCTATCTCCGAGGGACCCGCGGTGGTACCACCACCGCTGGGCTCCCCAGGAGGCTGCTGCACAGTGCCGCCTCTCATGCCAAGAACCTTGCCGTAGCCCTGACCCTGGCCGCCGAGGGCGGCCTCGCGGTCCTGGCGCCGCCCTGCTGGACGCCCAGCTCGCCGCGCGATTGGGGAGCGAGTCGGCCCAGTCGCTGGGCGGGAGCGGCGAGGGGGGTGGGCCGGGGAGCCCGCGGCCTGCACGCCGTCACCAGCAGGCACGCCTCCATCCACCTCCAGCACGTCGAACGCGGGCTGCTTGCGCGTGGGGGCCGCGCCCTTCCCGTCGCCCGCGGCCGCGTGGACGGCGACGCCGCGAGGGCACCACCGTGGTGGCCACGCCGCCGGCCTTCGCGGGGGCCGCAGGCACCGCCGCAAGCAGCGCGATCGCCGCGCGGAGGAGGACCTCGGCCGCACAGATCAACCACACGGCCGAGCGCTGCCCAGTGGCAGCGGCGAGCCTGGCAGCAGCGTGCGCCGCGAGGAGCGTCCCTCGCGAGGCTTCCAGCGGCGCGGCAGCGCGGGCAGTCGGCGCACCCGGCATCGGTACGGGGGCGGCGGGGCCGGCGGCGCACGAGTTTGAGCCAAGACGGTTTTGAGGAAGAGAGGGGAGGTGAGGAGGGGAGGAGGGAGGAGGGAGGAGGGAGGAGGGAGGAGAACGAGGTGGTGGTGATGGTGGAGGTGACATTTCGGTCAACATGCTTTCAAATTGCGGGGAGCGAGAACACTGATGATGATGATGATGATGACGATGCTCATGATGATGATGATGATGATGATGATGATGATGATGATGATGATGATGATGATGATGATGATGATGATGATGATGATGATGATGATGATGGTGATGGTGATGGTGATGGTGATGGTGATGATGATGATAGTAGTAGTGATGATGACGATGATGCTGATTATGATGATTATGATGATGATGACGGTGCCGATACCGATGGCGATGATGATGATGTTTATGATGATGATGATTATGATGATGATGATGATGATGATGATGATGATGATGATGATGATGATGATGATGATGATGATGATGATGATGATATTGCTGATGATGATGGTGATACTGTTGACGATGGTGATGATAACGATGATGGTGATGCTGATGCTGATGGTGATGGTGATGGTGATGCTCTATGTGATGATGATGGTGTGGGATGGTCGTGGTGGTGATGATGACGATGGTAGTGGTGATGATGATGATATTGCTGATGATGATGGTGATACTGTTGACGATGGTGATGATAACGATGATGGTGATGCTGATGCTGATGCTGATGCTAATGGTGATGGTGATGGTGATGGTGATGCTCTATGTGATGATGATGGTTTTGGATGGTCGTGGTGGTGATGATGACGATGGTAGTGGTGATGATAATGACGATGGTGGTGATGATGATGACGATGACGATGACGATGACAATGATGATGGTGATGATACTGATGATGACGACGATGATGATGATGCTGATGATGGCGGTGATGATGGTTATGCTGACGGGAATTGTGATGGTGATGGCGGTTGTGATGATGACGATGATGATGAGGGTGTGGTGATGATGATGATGCTGCTGATGATGATGATGATGATGATGATGATGATGATGATGATGATGATGATGATGATGATGATGATGACGGTGAAGGTGATGGTGATGGTGATGGTGGTGGTGATGGTGATGGTGGTGGCTATGGTGGTGGTGATGGTGATGGTTATGATGCTGATGCTGATGCTGATGCTGATGATCATGCTGCTGATGATGATGACGATAGTGATGGTGGTGGTGACGATGACGATGATGATGATGATGACGATGACGATGATGATGCTGCTGATGATGTTGTTGTTGATGATGATGATGATGATGATGACGACAATGGTGATGACGATAGTGATTATGATGATGATGATGATGATGATGAGGAGGAGGAGGAGGAGGAGGAGGAGGAGGAGGAGGAGGAGGAGGGGAAGGATGGGAACCAAGGGTCAGGAGCTCGCAGCTCTCAGGAGGAGGAGGATGGGAGAATCAGAGGTCTGCGGATTGCAGCTCGCAGGGGGATGAGCAGTGGGGATCAGAGGTCCGAAGATCGCAGCTCGCAGGAGGAGAGGAAGGAGGAGGAGGAGGAGGAGGAGGAGGAGGAGGAGGAGGAGGAGGAGGAGGAGGCCTCGTCCAGGGGACAGTCCTTGGTCCCGGATCCGTTCCTGAGGGTCCCAGGGCCCGAGGAAGGCCCCCAGGAGGCCGAAATCAGGAGCATAGATTGAAGGATTCCCAGAAAATCTGAACACGGTAGGTTCGTGTCGTGTCGACCAGCGGCGACCCCGCCGCCGGAGTTCAATGTTGAACGCCGACGGCGACCCAGAATCGATCGATGTTCAACGATGTGGCGTTCTGGAAACGGCCGATCGTTCAAGGTTGAACGATCCCCGCGGTGTCAAGAACCATCGCCTGGGTCGACACGACGCAAACCTGCGGTAAGCAAATCAAACCACAACCAATGCCAACTCGCGCGCGACTACCCCAGAATCCGTCTCGGGGTGCGGTAGAATGAGAATTTTGATGCTGATCCAGCGGCGCGGCCACGGGGAGCTTCCAGAAGGCCCAGGAAATGCCCCAAAACATTGGATTTCAAGCTTCGGTTTTCGAGCCTCAAGCCCCAGCCCCCTTCCTCCCCCAGGTCGACAGCGACGGGGACGGCGTCCCCGACAGCAGGGACCCCGCCCCGAGGGACCCCAAGTGCTGGCAGGCCACCTGCGCCGCCGTCGGTGTCATCGCCGCCGAGGTCGTCGTCGTCGTCGTCGTCGTCGTCGTCGTCGTCGTCGTCGTCGTCGTCCATCGGTCGTCCGTCGGTCGTTGCCGTCGTCGTCGAGCGTCGCCGAGCGTCGTCCTCGTCCTCGTCCTCTTCCTCGTCCTCGTCCTCGCCTTCTTCCTCGTCCTCGTCGTCGTCGTCGTGGTCCTGGTCGTGGTCGTTGTTGTCGTGATCGTGGTCGTCGTCGTCGTCGTCGTACGGTCGTCGTCGTTGTTGTGGTCGTTGTCTTGGTCCTGGTCGTTGTTGTCGTCCTCGTCTTCGTCCTCGTCCTCATCGTCGTGGTCGTGGTCGTGGTCGTGGTCGTTGTCGTGGTGGTCCTGGTGCTGGTCTTCGTCGTCGTGGTCGTGGTCATGGCCGTCGTGGTCGTGGTCGTTGTCGTCGTCGTGCTCGTCGTCGTCGTCGTGGTCGTCGTCGTCGTCCGGTTGTCGTCGTCGACGTCGTCACCAACGAGTCGTCATCGTGGTCGTTGTTGTCGTCGTCGTCGTCGTGGTCGTGGTCGTAGTCGTTGTTCTGGTCGTTGTCGTCCTCGTCCTCGCCCTCGTCGTCGTCGTCGTGTTCGTAGTCGTTGTCTTGGTCGTGGGCGTCGTCATCCTTGTCCTCGTCCTCGTCCTCGTCCTCTTCGTCGTCGTGGTCGTGGTCGTTGTGGTCCTGGTCGTGGTCGTCGTCGTCGTCGTCGTCGTGGTCGTGGTGGTCTTCGCGGTGTTTGTCGTTGTCGTCGTCGTCGAAGTCGTCGTCGTCGTCGTCGTCGTCATCGTCCAGTCGTCGCTGTCGTCGTCGTGGTCGCAGGTCTTCTTCGTCGTCGCCCCTCGAGGGTCACGATTCCCCAAGCAGTGCTTGTTCTCGGGGCTCCTCCTCCTCCTCCTCCTCCTCCTCCTCCACCTCCTCCTCCTCCTCCTCCTCCTCCTCCTTCTCCTCTTCTTCTTCTTCTTCTTATTGGGTTTTTCTGGCCCTCCCGTGGTCGCGCCGAGGAGTGTTTTCATGGCCACCCCGTGGCCGAGCGTGGCCGCCCCGTGGCCGCCCGTGGCCGCCCAACGTAGCTGGCAGGACTTCTCACACGGGCACGCCGCACACAGCGTACACCGCCCCAGCGTGCACCGCGCAGAGCGCACCACGGAACTCACGCCGCCCGGTTCTCCCACGTTTTTTCACCGTGCAGTCTGCACCTCCCAGCCTGCACCGCATCTCTTTCACCACGCGGCCGCCTCGTGTGCTGGGCGTGTCCTGCAAGGGTTCACCATTTTGCCGCCCGTGGCGGTGTCGTGGCCGCCTCATCCGCCCGTGGCCGCTTCGTGGCCGCCTCGTGCGCTGGGTGGGTCCGATGAAGTTTCGATACATTGCCGCCCGTGGCCGACCCTACCTTGCACCGCATGTGCGTACTGCATCGCATATCGAGGTTTAGCCGCATCGCCGCCCGTGACCGCCTCTTGGCCGCCCCGCGGCCCACAACAAAGCTTACATTACACCGCATAGCTTACACCACACAGCTTGCACCACATAGCTCACACCGCACAGCTTAAGTACTCGTCGTAGCTCACGCCACATAGCTTACATCGCACAGCTTTCACCACAGAGCTTACACCGCACAGTGTTTACTTTCAGAGCTCACGCCACATAGCTTACTCAGCGTAGCTTTCACGACATGGCTTACACCGCATAGCTTTCACCTCCACGGTGCCGCCCGTTGCCGCCTCGTTGCCGCTTGTGGGGTCCGCCGAGGATTCGCCACGTTACCGCCCGTTGCCGCCTCGTTACCGCTTGGGGGGCCCGCCGAAGACTCGCCACGTTGCCGCCCGATGCCGCCTCGTTGCCGCGTCACCACATAGCTTACTCCACGTAGCTTGCACCACGTAGATTGCACCACAGGGCTTGCACCACATAGCTTGTACCGCATAGCTTACACCACATCGCCTGCAGCAAATCGCTCACACCACATAGCTTACACATCCACAGTGCCATAACTTGCTGTTTGGGGTCCACGCTGGCTAACAGGTTTCAAGTTGTTCATCCCTTTTTTTTGGCCTCTTGAGGCCTCTGGAGTTCTCCAGGGACCTCTGGGAGCCGTTTGCGTCGGGCTCCGTTGTCCGTGGTTCGTCGCTGGTCGTCGACGTGCTCGTCGTCCGTCGGCGTCGTCGTCGACGTCGCGATCGTCGTCGACGCCGTCGTCGACGTCGTCGTCGTCGTGCTCGTCCGTCGTCGTCGTCGCCTCTCGAGGTTCGAGTTTTTGTTGTGTTATTTTGTATTTTTTTCTGCGCCTCCATACGCCTCTGGGGCCTCAGGGGGCCCTCGTCTGTCGTCGTAGCCTAGTCGTCGTCGTCGTCGTCGTCGTCGTCGTCGTCGTCGTCGTCGTCGTCGTCGTCGTCGTCGTCGTCTTCGTCGTCTTCGTCGTCAGTCGTTCGTTGTTTGTCATTGTTCTTCGTCGTCCACTGTCCGTCGTCCTTCGTTGCCCGTCGTCGTCATTGTCGTCGTCAGGCCACCTGCGCAGTGGACAGCGACGGAGATGGAGTCACGGACAGCAGCTTAGAAAGCCATGATCGTCAACGTGACGCCAGCGCCAGGAGTCACGTTCGGGGGCCCGTTTTGTCCCCCAGGACACACTTTGCGAAATCCATCCGGGTCATGGGGTCGGGAGCCTGCAGGGACCTGCAAGGGCGTGACGTCGTTGGCTCAGCTGCCCCCGACCCGCACGGGCAAGACTCTGGTCTGTGCACGCACAGCCCCCGGAGGCACGGTCTGGAACTTAGGCCAGCGTGTCGCGCCGCTGGTTCTGGTTCACCACGCTTCAGCGTGACACGCTAATCACGTCCCATCCCCCAGGCATCAACATCCCGAGCCTTTTCCAAGCCTCACATCCCGCGGAGCGGAGCGACGCGCTATCCGCTTGCAGGGTACAGCGTGTCGCCGGGGCCGCCGCCGCGACACGCTCAGCAAAAGCTCCTGGCCGTACACTTAGGCACATCAGACAAGAAATCGGCCTGCCAGCAGGTACCCCATGGACATGTCGTATCCCCGGGTTGACCCCGGAGACCCACAGAAGCACTTGGGCATCGCAGGACCCTCAAAGCCCGACGACGACTGTGCCCCAAGATCTCATGTTGCAAGTTTTTTTGCTGTATGTGTCTACTGTCGTCCCGCCCGCCGTCCACAGGTCCCCGGGGTAGCTCCACAGAGGCCTCAACACCCGGCGCCGCCTCCAACGCACATGGGGGCGCTCTCCACGCCCTCGGGCGGGGCCAACCGCGCGTAGGAGGGGCCCTTCGCCAGAGTGACCTCTGGTGCGCGACCTTGGGTCGGGGGCTCCCTGACGGTGCGGTGACCACACCGTGCAATGAGCCAGTGGGGACTCGGGGTTGCCGCACGGTTTTGGGACTCGGGTCGCTCTCCGAGGAGGACTCGGGCAGCTGGGGCCTCCAGGGTCCCAAGACGCTGCGGTGACGGACCGTGCGGTGATGTCGTTGGGGATTCCGAGGTTACTGCACGGTCTGTCACCGCACCGTTTCGGGACCCTCAATGGGGGCGGCGCGGGGGGCCAAAGCGAAGCACGCAGGCCGTTGCTGTCGCATTGCGTGCAGGGGTCGACCAGCCGCGCACCAAGGGTCGCTCTTGCCTAGGGCAGCTCTTGCATGTTAGCCGATAGGTGTGCTGAGACCGCCGTGGGTATGCTGAATTCTCGGTTCCAGGTTCCCGGTTCCCGCCAGCTCCCGCCTCCTAGTTGCCAGGTGAGTCCCTGTTCAACGTTCCCAGTTCCCGACTTCTGGGCTCCGAGCTCCCACTTCATGGTTCCCCGTACTTTCCCTCTGTAGTGAAGCCTGGCGGGTCTTGACTTCAGGCGGATCCCGGCCCACCAACCCCCGGCTCAAAAATCTCAGGAGCACCTTGGTCTGTCCTCGTCGGACCTGTGTGCGGATGGCTGGAGGCGTGCTCTTCCAGACCAGTCCAAGGTCGCTCAAAGGGGCGGTCGAGATTTGAGAGGTCACGGAGCAGTCTTTGTCACTGCGCCAAGCGCACCCCTTGAAAGACGACCGCACCGTGGGCCCGCAGTTCAGGCCAGAGGCACAAGTTTAAGCTGTCAAGGGGGGCGACCCATTGGACATGCAGGAAAAGGGGGGAACGACCCCAATCAAGGGGCTCGAGCCAGCGGCTTAAAGGTGTCACACTCGGCCTGCTGCTGCTGCTGCTGCTGCTGCTGCTGCTGCTGCTGCTGCTGCTGCTGCTGCTGACGCTGCTGACACTGCTGACGATGCTGACGCTGCTGACGCTGCTGACGCTGCTACCGCTTTGGCCGCGCGAGCGGCCTGGCCCATCGCCACGGCCTCCTCCCGCGAAAGCCCAAAAAGCTGCAAAGCCCTCTGAGAACCCATGGCCCTCAGGCCCGAGCCTCCCTGTCCCTGGGCCTGGCCAGGACCGTTCCTGGCGGGTCATCCGGGGGGGCGAGGCAGTCAGGCCAGAGGAGGAGGAGGAGGAGGAGGAGGAGGAGGAGGAGGAGTAGGCAGAGGTGTGAGAGGAGGACGAGGCCCACCGCAGTTCGGCAGCTTCGCCGATCCGGCCCTTACGTCGCCCGATCGGGATCTGGGCGGTGGATCTGGCCCTCACTCAGCGGGGCGCTCCGCCATTTGGGGACGGATCGGGCTGCCTGGACCAGGATTGGGTGGATCGGGGTGCTTTCTGAGGACATCAACGATCCTGCCCCCATGGACCCCACATGCTGGACGAAGCCGTGCGCAGTGGATTCCGATGGAGATGGAGTCGCCGATGTGCACGACCCCGCCCCCAAAGATCCCAAATGTTGGGAAGACGCCTGCGCGGTCGATACGGATGGAGATGGCATCATGGACGTCAATGACCCCGCTCCCAAGGATCCGAAGTGCTGGGGGAAGGCCTGCGCGGTCGACACGGATGGAGATGGCATCATGGATGTCAACGACCCCGCTCCCAAGGATCCGAAGTGCTGGGAGAAGGCCTGCGCGGTGGATTCGGATGGAGATGGCATCATGGACGTCAACGACCCCGCTCCCAAGGATCCGAAGTGCTGGGAGAAGGCCTGCGCGGTCGACACGGATGGAGATGGCATCATGGACATCAATGACCCCGCCCCCAAAGATCCCAAATGTTGGGAAGACGCCTGCGCGGTCGATGCGGATAGAGATGGCATCATGGACGTCAATGACCCCGCTCCCAAGGATCCGAAGTGCTGGGAGAAGGCCTGCGCGGTCGACACGGATGGAGATGGCATTATGGACATCAATGACCCCGCCCCCAAAGATCCCAAATGTTGGGAAGACGCCTGCGCGGTCGATTCGGATGGAGATGGCATCATGGACGTCAACGACCCCGCTCCCAAGGATCCGAAGTGCTGGGAGAAGGCCTGCGCGGTCGACACGGATGGAGATGGCATCATGGACATCAATGACCCCGCCCCCAAAGATCCCAAATGTTGGGAAGACGCCTGCGCGGTCGATGCGGATGGAGATGGCATCATGGACGTCAATGACCCCGCTCCCAAGGATCCGAAGTGCTGGGAGAAGGCCTGCGCGGTCGACACGGATGGAGATGGCATCATGGATGTCAACGACCCCGCCCCAAGGATCCGAAGTGTGGGAAAGGCCTGCGCGGTGGATTCGGATGGAGATGGCATCATGGACGTCAACGACCCCGCTCCCAAGGATCCGAAGTGCTGGGAGAAGGCCTGCGCGGTCGACACGGATGGAGATGGCATCATGGACGTCAATGATCCTGCTCCCAAAGATCCGAAGTGCTGGGAGAAGGCCTGCGCGGTCGATTCGGATGGAGATGGCATCATGGACTTGAACGACCCTGCCCCCCACGATCCGACTTGCTGGGAGCTGGAGTGCTCGCCCGCTGGGCTGAACAAGGTCAGGAAACCCGTGCCATCGAAAGTTTACGACGACTCCGGCCAGGATCTCAACGAGACCGAGCACGTGCTGCCTGGCAACAAGACGCTGACCGGCGACTGGCGGGAGGAGTGGCCGGTCAAGGAGAAGGAGACTCACGACGAGTCGATCTCTCGGATCTGCAAGGAGTATCCCGAGTCTGCGTGGTGTAAGGATTGGCTCAAAAAGTGAGCCCCCGTGGTCTCGGCGTAGAGCAGACCAGTTTCCTGCACATGCCCTTGCGCCCGTGATATAGACGATGGCGGGTGGGAGCGGCGTTGGACAACGTTTCCCGCTGTCTTGGACAGGCTTCGCTGTCGATCTCACGTCGCGTGTTGTCCGTTTGGTGGTGAGTGGCGCGCCTGCGCAGCAGCAGTCGCCATAGGTTTCGGACAGTGTGTCCTATCGTGCATCGTCGCACTTCCTCCTTCTCCTCCTCCTTCCTCCACCTCCCCCGTCTCATCCTCATCCTCCTCCCTCAAGACCGAACTCCCAGGCCTGTCCAGTGGCGCGTTCTGACCAGAATGCCGAGTGGATCCAGACGCCCGCGGCGACGAGGACGGTCCCGGAGGCTCACGAAGGCCCAAAACCGCCCAAAGACCTCAGTCATCCTGCTGCTCCTCCTGCGCGTCGACGCCGTCTCCACTTAGCTTCAAGCGTGCTAAAGATGGCATGGGATGCTGTACTCTGCCGACCTGGCCACGGCCATCCACTCCTGCATTGGCATGGTGCCTGCTCGTTGACTCTTGAGGCGCAGTACACTGTTCGCCTTCCTCGGATCCTGGCCACCCCGACACGGCCAGCCATTCCTGCATTGGCATGGTGAGTGCTCGTTGACCATTGAGGCGCAATGCAGCGCCAGCCTTCTCATTCGTCAGCGCCACAGCGTGGTGCCGACAATTTTAAATTGCGGCGCTCGGGACCCATTACACTAGACTCGCGTCTTAGAATTATACAACGCGCGTTGCTGACATCTTGGAGGCGGAAAACAGTGCCAATGCTCTCTTGTCTTCTCGGCGGATGCTTCGTGCATCTATACGCCAGCATCTGTGTAGACACTGGCTTCGACCATACATGGATGTATCGAGAGACGCGCGCTCCAATGTTTGAGGAACGCCTGATAACATGATGTCGGCCATCGGTGTGTTGCAAGCTTCCTGGTCTGCTTGGGCCCCCTGCCTTTACCAGCCCGGCTGTGCCTGATTATGACAGACACCCGCAGTCCGCACCCTGATCCCTCGCCTCGTCACCTTTTGCCGCCGACCACTGATTCTATTCACTCTCTGCTTTCGTGCGCCACGCTCCCTCCGGATCGATTCTCAAACCCTCAGTGCCCCTCTTTCGTCGCCTCTTCGACCGCGCGCGGCTTTTTATACCGCTCCTGCCTGCTTGAGCTGCTTCTCCCCGTCCCCTTCTGCCCCCATCCTCCTCATCAGCACCATCCTAATCCGAAAGTTCACTCTCATACTCTTGCATGCCATGCGCACAAGGGTAGACAATCTAGGTCTCCCGCGGGTGGCGCGGAGATGATCGCGCTTCGCCCGTCGTGGTCAGTGACTGCAGAGCCCCCTTTCTCCAGCAGGGGCGACGCGAGAGCGCGATGGCACGAAGTCAACCGCGCGCATCGTGGGGCGCGCGGGCGTGAAGCTGGGTGACCTGGATGATTCAGCCAGGTGCATAACATCGTGTGCAGGTGTGAGAAGCCGTGCGACGCGCACACGAGAGCAGTGGAAAAGGAGCTTGTGAGAGCGGCGGTACTCTCGCGCCGTGCTCCTGCAGACGCCTGCCAGCACGGCAACAATCTCTGGGCACTTCCGATTTCTCGGTACAGTTGCATGCACGTCGTGTGCAAGCTGGCCGTCTTGGAGGCAATCATGGGGCTATCTTGGGCCCTCTTGGGGCCATCGCGGCCGTCATGGTATATGAGCTCTTCGAGTGGCTGGAGGGTTGGGTCGAGACCCCACTGGGAGTTCCATATAACAAACCAAACACCTGCCAGACGTTCGGCATACGCTTTCCATTGTGCAAGCATGTACGCTCCTATGTCCAGGCGTAGCTTGGTAGACGCGTCGACTCATGAGCAGAAAACGCCGCGTTCTGTAGATGCTGGGAAGGGGGGGTTCGAACCCGGGGGGGGGGAGAGCCTTCCCACCCTGGGATGCAAAAGGAGGGGGGCCAGACCAGGGGGGGACGGGACCCCCCCCACTGAATTGCAAGGGGGGGGTCGCACAGGTGGGGGAGCCCTCTCTTTCAAGGGGGGGGGGTTCGACCCGCCCTTCGCCAATGGCAAACGACGACGAAGGTGACGACGCCGACGACGACGACGAGTCAGGCGACGTCGACGACGTCGTCGACGAGGACGAGGACGAGAACGACGACGATGACGACGAAGCCGACGACGACGGTGACGCCGCCGCCGACGACGACGACGACATCGACCGTGACGACGACGACGACGATCGATTCTTAGGTGGCCAGGTAAGTCTGGATCGAACCCTCGTCCCCAGTGAGATCTTTGCAGAGCTTGACCGATCACTGGTAGGATTTAATTCGAGCAGGGCTCTAAGAGCTGGATCCAACTATAGTAGGACTGTTACACCGCCGAGTAGGATCGAGCCCGACATGGGCGCGAGTAAAGTTCGATCCGGTTAGAGTCCGATATGGGTGCGAGCCCGACATGGATGCGAGTAGAGTAGGATTCAATTAGAGCTGGATCGAGCCCTAGTAGGATTCATCTAGACCTGGATCCAGCTTTCGTTGGGTTATATTCGAATAAGATCGGGCCCGACTATGATGCGAGCAAAGTATGATCGAGCCCGACAAGGGTGCTAGTAACGCTTGAGCCAGCTATGGTAGGACCACATTCAAGCTGGATTGAACCTTCGTTGTATTCATTTAGAGCAGAATCCAGCTTTAGTTGGGTCGTCTTCGAGTAGGACCGAGCCCGATTAGGATGCCATTACAAATGGGTCCAGCTACGCGAGGGTTCTATTAGAACTGGATCCCCCCTAGCAGGATTCTATGAGAGGGAGGAGGGGGGGTGGTTCGAACCGAATCTCGGACTAATCTCAACCACTTGAGACCACTCCCAACCTTTTTTGTATGTTTCCCCAACCCACGCGGAAACAAACACCAGTACGAATTCTAATTGGCCAAGTAACCTCAGATTCGATGTAAATGGTGAGGTGATGTTGTGATATGCCAAAGCACAACTGGTTGGATTACACGTCCACGCCCAGGTCAGAAACTAACGTGATTGTCTGGGTTAGAATTGGTATCACAACGGTTTGCGACGATGTGAAACTCAAGATTTGGATGTGGATGGCGGTGTTAATGAATAGGTGTTATATTTGATAAAAAGGCAAGCAGTGACATCGGAAGGCCCTTTGTGGGGCCACCAGGCTACGACTGAGACGTTTGTGAAGCTTCGTTGTGTTGCCCCATATCCCTTCTCCCGTCCTCCTCCTCCTGTCCCTCTAGTATCCTTCTGCTTCACTTGAAAGCTCGTGTGCACAACAGCACCCGCGTGCACCATAGTCCTCCTGTACTCCTGGGGGTTATTCGGGATTCGCTAGGAGCTTGTAGGACGTTGTAGGATTGGTTGTTCGAGGTTTTGAAGGATGCATCCGGGTTTTTCGGGGTCCCGTGGGATTATATAGGATTGGCGAAGGTTCATTCTGATCATTTATGCAACATCAACGGGATTCCGTCATATTCCGCAGGATGTTTTTCAATACCTGGCGCTTGTGTAGGATTCCTAGAGGACGTAGGATTCCGGCGATATGTTTTACATGTTCGGAAGATTTCTCTCAAGCGTCTTTGAATGACGCCTGTCAAACGCCTCTCTGAGGCGCGTGTAAAAAGCGCCTGTCGAACGCCTTTCAGAGGCGCTTGTGAGAGACGCCTGTAGGACGCCTCTATGAGGCACCTGTACTTGATGCTTGTAAAGCTCCTGTATGACTCCTTTCTCACAAGCGCCTGTAAGGCACCTCTCAGCAGCGCGTATATGACGCCAGTAAGGCACTTCCTAGAGGCGCCTGTAAGACACCTCCCATAGGCGCCTCTAAGACTCCTGTAAGAGACGCCTCCCGGGGGCACCAGTAAGACGTTTGCTAGAGGCGCTTGTGAGGCACATCGCAAAAGCGTTTGTAAAACGCATGTAAGACGCCTCGCAGAGGCGTCAGTGAGACGCTTGGAGGACGCCTGGCAGGGGCGCCTGTGAGACGCCTGTAGAACGCCTCGCAGAGGCGCCTGTGGGACGCCTGTGGGACGGCTCACAGAGGCCCTTGTCAGACGCCTGTAAAACGCTTCGCAGAGGCGCCTGTGAGACGCGTTGCAGTGGCGCAGGGGCGCTTGTGAAATGCGTGTAAGACGCGTCGCGGAGGCGCCTGTGAGACGCCTGTCGGACGCATCGCGGAGGCGCCTGTGAGACGCCTGTAAGACGCCTCGCGGAGGCGCCTGTAAGACGCCTCGCAAACGCTTCGCGAAGTCTTGCCATCCGGGTTGGTTGGATTTAGTATTAAAGTGATTGGAAATCGTACCGGGGTGGCTGGGTTGTGTTATAGTTGGTTGCTATTTGTCCCATTGCCGGTTCGACCCCCCCCCCGTGCACAAGGGGGGGGGGGGCCTCCCTGGAGCCGAGGAGCGCGCGAGGCAGGCCCGCGACTAGTCCAGAACGGCTTGAAGATCATCTCTTGGCTTGAAAAGACAAAATACCGTGCCACATCTACCGCGACCAGAGGACTCTGGAATGTATACCTGCCGGCCGTTGGAAGTCGGTCTTTCTGGGCTCCCAGATCCCAATCCACTTTAGCGCCTCCCTACTTCAAGAAGCGATCCGCTTCTGCCGTGTTTTATTATTCTCTGGGACGGCCTGAAGCCAATTTATTTTATCCGCCTTACTACTTCATGTTTTAACATACTTCTTCCGACCGACGGGTAAGGGTCTTTTCTTTTGGGGTGCCTCTCGGCAGCCTCTTGGAGGGCTTTCGGCAGCCTCTTGGAGGGCTCTCGAGTCCTCCTCCCCCCCTCCCTCCTCTCCTCCCCCATTCTCCCTCTTCCCCCTCCTTCCTCGTCCTCCTGTTGATGCTGCTCCTCCGCCTCCTCGTCTTTCCCCCCCCTCATTTCGTCCCCGAGAATAGGGTCCAAAACCCGCCCATTGATTGCCGCCATCATCCTCTCGCGCAACTGGTACACAACTCCCTCGCTGCGCCCATCCATTTTCGCGTTCCTTTCTGCTACCTGACTGCCCGCCCGTTCTGCCTTCCCTGTCGCCCCAGTCCTTCACTTAAAATAGCAGCGCACTCAACACCACTCTTCGTTACCCCACTTGCCTATCAGACCCACAAGCGCGCTTTGACTTTAGTTTGTTGCGCACCACTGGAGCGGTCAACTCTTTCCCCTCGCTAGGCATCCGCATCCACACGCGGGACGCCCTCACTCCACCCGCTTATCCGAACCCCACTCGCGTTCCAGTTCTGGTGCGGTGAGAGCCCCTTGGGGCACCCGCTCACTTTTGCGTCATACGATTGAGGGAAACAAGAAGCAGCACTCACCCCCCTCTCCGCAATTCAAGGTTGGTACGATTCCGCAAGACCGCTCGAACGCTCAAACTTTCACGACCCGAAGCCAACATTGCATTCGGGAGTTGATGGGGGGAATTCAAACTATATGTTCTGCGTGAGTGTTGCCGAATTGGTTCCGACACCAGTGTCAACGGACGCGCATGCCCTTTCAATCCATTTGCTTCCTGATTATAGGGTCCAGCAACGAGGCTGTGTAATCTGCCAGTGTCCTCCTTCTCCTCCTCCTGCTCCTTCTCCGCCTTCTCCTCCTCCTCCTCCTCCTCCTCCTCCTCCTCCTCCTCCTCTTCCGCCTCCTTCACTCCCACCTCCCAGTGTCCGGACAGGCGATCCCGAGGCGGCCGGCCAACCCAAGTCGGCATTTGGGGGCGCACCGGCTGTGGCGCAGCAGGGTGCGACGGAGG